AATTTGGAAATTTTGGAATTTGGAAATTTTGGTATTTGGAAATTTTGGAATTTGAAAATTTTCTAATTTGAAAATTTTGGAAATCTTGAAATTTTTACTTACACAATTCCATCCGATTTTACCCGATTCCATCCGAACTTTATCGAATTTTTATTACAGTATCCAGCTGTGTTCTACGGAAGAGATTACGATCCAGAGCAGTATCAACAAGTGGAAAATGCATTCGAGATCCTCGATAAATTATTAGAAGGTCACGAATACGTCACGGGACGTTATATGACAATCGCTGATCTCTCTTTAGCTGCCAACGTGTCAACAATGGAGGTCTGTCATAAAAAACTATTTTATGAACAACAGTAATTAATAGTAATTAATTACTTAAACATGATTTGAGAATTGTACGTGTAAATCATTTTTGATGGTAGGTTTACAATTTTGACGTGGAGAAATATCAAAATGTCGCGAAATGGATGGACAGGATTAAAGCATCAGCGCCAGGATATCGAACAGCTAATGGCGAAGGTCTGGAAGTTATGAGGAAGATTTTTGAGAACTCTCAAAATAAATAATTATTTAAATTTAAATTGTGAGGTTGAAAAGAGAAAATATATAAAAATATAATTTACAATTTGTGTCACAGTAGATCAATTTTAGAAATTTAATTGAAGATTGTAATTGTTAAATATAATGTGATAAAAATGTAATAAAACACAGTGAAATACTAACATAGTGAAATAAAACATAGTGAAATACTAACTGTTCATAATATGCAATAAAAAGTAATGAATTATAATGTAACATTTATTAAAATAACGTGTAATTTAAATGTTAATAAAACTCAATAAAATTCAATGAAATGTAATTTAATTATTGATAAAATGTAAGGGAAAATGATAGAGTACAATGTAACAAAATTGACTGATATTAGGTTAGAATTAATTAAATTCTTCTCTGGAAGAATTAAAGTTTGAATTTTTACAAAAATGGAACAGGTGGCGCCATTTTTCGGTGAACATGGTGTACTACACACTTTTGAAACTGTAGTTTCATTAGTTGCCTCATATTGTCACTAGATGGTATCATATATATGGTCTTTACAGAAATTTTATATCAATTAATTAATAACAATAAAAAATAACTAATTTTATTGAAATTGATTCTGAATTTTATTTTACACAAGACTTAATTACTGAATGAATAGTAAAGAATTTTCTTTTTTTTTTAATAAAATTAAAAATGATCAAACGACGATAGCTGTCAATATTAATTATTTGTTCACAAAGGGAAACCGAACTCTTCTTGACCGACGACTTCGATAACAGAACTCTTCTTGACCGACGGTTTTGATAACAGAACTCTTCTTAACCGACTGCTTTGATAACAGAACTC